GGGTTCGCAACCTTGTTTGAATTGTTTATTAAGAACTATAATAAATGAAAACAGCCTTAAAATTGCTTAATTTATACTCATCTGTCATAAATAAGTGGTTAGTTGATACATTTACCTCTAAGCTTTCCAAAGTCTTTTGTGCTTCGTCAAGGACCTGAATCCTGTTGTTTAACTCCTCGCGCACTCGATCATATTGCCTCTTTGCGTGAATGTACTCATTCACGGCTTTGGCCATGCCATCATTAATTCCACTTGTTAAACGCAGCAACTCCCAGTTTTCAGCTCGTAGGCGCTCCAGAAGGCTGAGTCGACGTTCGGCAACCTGAACGGTTTGTGCCACATGAACAACTTCGTTGGCCATTCGCTTCGCCTTGATAAGTGTTAGTTAGAAATGATATTTATAACGCTTTTAGTTTAGGTCTGAATAGAAAAGTAGTAAATATGTCCATATTATACTTATGATAAATTTGCATCCAGCTGAGGGAAACGAGAGCTGTGCTGGGGAACCCAGATGTTTTAATCACATGAAATTCTGGCCTCTGCTTCAATAAACTTATTTGTGTCATCACATTTATAATAAAATTTTATTTTCCCATGAATCATATGTTCTTTGCCTGGTAACCATTATTCATTAGATGAATTAAGTGAAGTCTTAAATATCTTGTACACTAAAAGTCAGAATGCTTATGTTCTCTGTATTTCGAAATTATACTTATTATATACAAACTAGCGAGCAATAATAGAACAATTAAGGGTTAATAAGGCAATTAATTGTTTTTTTACTTTAATATTTATTTTGCTTATTTTACTCATAGAAACCAAAAATGAACCGAAAATTGAAGCAAGAATGAGATAATTTTCTGCCCTAAGGGGGTCATCAACATCAGCTATGTCATTGTCATCTTGGCTTTCATATTACTATCAATAATGTTGGGATTTTGGCCTGATATCCTATCTCATTGAGATAAAAATAGGACAATCCATGTTATGAATGAAATGG